CTAAAAGGAATAGACATTTTCTCGTCACTTAGTAATGATATGAATTTATTTTCATTACTAAATTTGTCAAAATTTGGTATACGTTTATTAGCTACAATGTAAAGTTTTAATCTTATTTCATTGTAATGAGGACAATTTGTGACAAAATGTTGTTCATCTTCAACATGGTCATTGTCGCACATATTGCAGACTCTGTCTTTAAAATCCAATCCTGTATGCCGGCCTGTTTCAATTTTCAGACAGTGGTTGCCAAGTCTAAATTTTGTTAAGGATTTGCGAAGTTCACTGTTTTTCATAATTGTTAAGTAGTTTTCTTGTTCTATATAATATGTTATCATGCTCACATCTGTTTTTGTGTCTCTCTATACTGATGTAAGAGAATAGGATATGTCAAGGTAATAGAGCTTAGAAATGAGTTTACAATGTAAACCCCCCTTGAAGAGGGGTATCAGCACTGATGTAAATATTATGTAATAGTTACATCAACATAATAACAGATGAGAACATATGTTATGCCTGTGTACAAGGCTGAAATACAGTGGAGATAACACCAGCGACCATTTGAAAAATGTATTGGCGTCTTGAACTGAACTTTGGTGCTCAGCCAAACTTTTTTTGAGTTTATCTTATTTCAAAGTATAAAGCAGACTCACTAGGTGTGTCAAATTTAAAGGAAGTTTAGGTTTTTATATTGACCTGTGTACGTTTTTAAACATGAAATATGCTGAATGGTTCCAATATAGAGCTACAATGGGATTTGATCCATGTTCCAACAAGTTTATACGTGTGTACATCATTATGACACTGTACATGGCACAGAAATGTTAATTACCGGTATTACTGCTCAATCGAAAAAAGTACACAAAAGACAGAAATATATGAATCGCCGAAAGTTTGCTAATCTACAAGACAGCAGAACAGTTTGCATTATCCAACAGCTGCCATACTTATGCCTCTTGTAGAAACTGCTGGTATGAATACAAGAAGATGAGATCCTTATCTTTTTTAGTTCTGGGCACAACTTACATGGACGTCAACGTAACTTTTTCTACTGAGAACAGGTACACTGTACATATTTGCTTTTTTCGTAGTGCTTACGCAAATATAAGTTGTGTTTCTATGATCAAAATTAGCATAAAGAATGAAGAATGAAAAAAATATGGTAATCACTGACTATGCTGAAAGCCCAAGGTGGGGAAATTTTAACCTTCTCACCACCAGTTCCTCTTTTCATCACTAATCTTAAAGTGGTTCTGCTAATAGGCTGCAATTTCCTTCAGAAGATTGGGACAAAAATAGCCAATTCTTATGATTAAAAACTAAAATTTGACTCAAACTGTGTCTGTTGACCCCAAAATTAGAGTTCATTACCTGAAATATTGAAAATAAAATCTCCATGCACTTTTTGACCATTCATAAGTAAAATACACTACAATTTACTCCAGAAAAACAATTTTCTTGGTACATTTTTACATTCTTGCATATTAAATGAGGGGTTCAGACACATTCCAAGCGGAACACTTTTCTTGGACTAATAACAAAGCTGGTCAATCCTTTCCCAGCAAAAATAAAAAAAAGTACAGAAAATATTGGGTGAGAAAGACTGATAGGGAAAAGGTTAATTGACACCCATGCAACAAAAGTGCACATTTTTATGTTTAAAATAAACATTTAGCGCAAAGCATTAATGTAGACAGTTTCAGACAGTTATTAGACACTGTTAAAGATTACAAGTATCAAATGTTAATGAATAACCAATCATATCGTCGACAATACTGTCTAGACTCCATAAAGTCTCCCTCTAGCTAAAAAAAAAATCATCCATTTGTGTTTATGTACATAACTTCATTTTATTTTTAATAACATCTTGCATTTTTTCCTCTACTAGGTCATGATAGAAGACAAAGCAGCATTGGATACAATTTAGGGAATGTATGTCTGCGAAACTGTCAATGGAAAATTTCATTTTAGTTTGAATTTTTTTTTTTTTTTCAATTTAAAAAAACTTTAATCACTGAGTGTAACAAAAGTTAAATTTGACGATCAAAAGATTAATATCCCGAAGTAATTAAATTTTGTGGAGATCACATCTTTAAACCAAAATTTTCTCTTGCTCCAAGGGTCAAAAATGCAAGACAAACGAGAATTATCATAATTTTATATCTAAAATACCTGATTTCTTTTCAAAATTATTTCTCAACATGTTGAAATCGTCACAATGCATTTTGGGAGAGCTATTTTTCTAAGGATTGTATGAAAGTTTCATTTTTGGAAGATTCTGCCAGAATTTCCAGGCCAGACTTCTCTTTCACACTTTGTGCAAAAGGTGGAATTTTTGTCCAAGTGTATGTTAACCAATATTGTACGGAAATAGTATCTTTTCCTTCAGAAATAGCTTATTACGGTGAAAATAGAATAATTTACAGCATTCTCTCAGAATCTTTCAAGTGTACACTCCATACAGTAGTAAATACATGGACGGCTGTTAACACATTCACAACTCACTAAATTACAGACTATATCAACTGTGTATTGGCCCACGCAACAAATTTTGATTTAAATTTTCCCTTTTTAATTACTTCTTTTATATATAGTTGAACAAATATTCAAAAAAAAATATTGTAACAATATTCAACCACAGGAAAACAAAATCAGGGATGTAATTTGATACTGAGGAATCAGACAAATTTCAGTATTTTATACATTCACTATAAATATTTGGTGCATGATATAAAAAGTTATAGTAAACAAGTAATGACACAATACACTCTGTGTCATTTTTAATGAAAGAGTTTGAGTGCATATGTACTTATCTGTGCATTGTACATCTTGTTATACATACATACAGGCTGTTTCTTGAAATGTATACTGTTAAGTACTTTATTTTCGATTGGAATTAATTTTTAATAATGATTCAGTGAAAATAAAATCCAGCGAATATACCTTTTTTCCTATATTTTACAATCAACTTGCTATAAATCAGTGAAAATAAATTCCATACAAAACATCAAAAAAATTTTTTCAGCAAAAATTATTTCCAGCTAAAATAAAGTATTTTACAGTATATATTAACAGATTACTTCAGGCAGATCTTTTTCTGATGTATGTGTGAACTTTGAACTTGATTGGCTCAGGAATGTCAGAAACATGAATAATGAACTGCATTCTTCAATACAAAATGGCCATCAGTCAGCCGTTTTGAACCCGATTCAAAATATAAAATCATGTGCATCAAGATCCCATTGTGTTTAATATACCGATATGTGTTAATTTTAAACCAAATCTGTTCACACATGACTGAGATCCAGTTCTGATATTGTGAAAGTGTGTGATTTTCATGTATTTTTAGCCTTAAAATGGCTGCTATTCAGCTATCTTGAAATGAATCATGAAACAAATACATGTGCATATGTTTGATACAATGCCTGATGTATTTTTCAAAGTTTTAACTTGATCTGTAAGGTATATGTGAGACACAAGTGGATACAGATGCACAGACGAACACATAGTCAATCAGTAAGTATCCATTTTGGAACTACAGGGATTGAAATGTCACAAGGAAAGAAAGTCATAGAAAAATTTTAGAGGGTGTTAATTTTTTTTAAGTTGAATGGAAAACAAACACCAAATTGATAATTACTTTGTTTAATGTTTCAAGTTTAGAACAATATAGATACCTAATTTGCATAATTTGTTTCACAAACAATTTTCAATTAAATTAATAAATGATGGGGTTAAAATTCTTTTTTATCAGTTTAGAAAGTTTATTTTTTACCTGTAACTTCTTTCAATGCAACTATTTTTCCCCGTATCATTTTTCCAACTTTTATATATTAATTTATACACTTTTATGTCGCCAATATTAAGACTAGCTTCATAAAAAGGAGAAGAATTGTCTTTGAATATTTTTTTTGTTTTATATTATCTACATTTGTATCAATCAAATTTTTTTGTGAGGAGGGAACTAATCCCCAGCACCATGCAATCATTAAAAACAACTAGAGCTCCATACACAAACAAAGTCACACAATTCCCTTTCCAGATTTACAGGTACAATCCCTTTCCTCTATTTCAACCAACTATCCCTCACATTAACTAACGCACATCTTTTTCTTACTTCTTAATTTGTCATAAAGAGCACTCCTGTTACATTCATAATTGATGGCTTCTCCTCCTGTTTTAAAGTGGTCTGCCCCTTACTGAAATCCAAACATGTGCACACAGCAGTTTACACACTGTCAGCTATTGTTTATTTAGATTACACTGCATGAGGATTGATGCATACTGTGGAATACTTTATTTTCGCTGGAATTAATTTTCGCTGAAAAGGCTTTGATGGCGTTTTGTATGGAATTTATTTTCACTGATTTTTGATAAGTTTAATGTGAAACATAGGAAAAAAAAGTATATTCGCTGGATTTTATTTTCACTGAATCATCCCTTCAGCGAAAATAGCGAAAATAAATTCTGAGCAAAAATATAGTATTCTACAGTAGTTCAGTATCAAGGCATAAATTCACACTCCATGATTAATAGTTTACACACAGGAAACAAATCCTGAGGGCAAACAATGGAATGAAATTTTAATCCATGCATTAACTAAATCCATATGCTAACATAATCCAGCTGTATATTATTTATCTATGGACGTTTTGTCCGTGGAATGATGGAGCCAAAAATGGTGGAGCAGAAGGAATGATTTCTGTAAATCTATTTCGACTTCATGAGCATGCACTGATCAATGGTAGTGATTAATGGGAGTTTGAATTTGTATGTGTAATAATGATGATTGAGGGAGTATACACCACTAAAGCCCACTGCACATGCAGCAAGGACTCAACTATAGTTCCAATCACTGAGGTTTTACTAAGTTACAAACACATGAAATCATACAACCAGCAGCATAACCAATTTGAGGAGGTTCCTCAGTGGGAATCTGACACACATATGCAGAATTCAAAAATACATATATACGTTAATTTAACTCTACACTGACTTACCACACAGGCAACTACCAGTGGTGAAGTACTACGATTCCCAACAGCAAAAGGTCAGTTATGTCCCCCAGGTTATCAGCTACTAGCTTGTCTCTCCTTTCCCTTAAAGTGAGTAGATGACATCAGTTACAGTCTCGTGCTGCGTCACTGGGCGTACTGCTGGCTTTCTTCTTTTTACTGTGTGTTTACAATCAGACTCACTGACTCAGCTGGTTGACTGGATCACCACTGAGGCTTGTTCTACTTCTAAGAGACCTTGGCAGATAAATATACTATATCAAATGTCAGGGAGTTTATAAAACTTAAGGAAAATTGTTGGGTCATAACATTCGTGTAGGTAGGAGGCATGGGAGACTTTGCTGGGGTAGCAATTTAAAATTGGTTCTGATAGCAATGAAGCTGCTACTATTCAACTGAAATGTTGGATCCTATGAAAATAAACTAAAAGCAATTTTATAATGATGGGGTTTCCTACATCTTATCATTCAATGCCAACACCCCTATATCATAATAGTCTAGTCCATCCCTGTAGGAGTTCTCAGCCAGAGAATTCTAGTTAGTCTTTTTCAGTTAGTTCTATGCTTTCTTCCACTGGGAGTAAGGATAATCAGTAGATTAATTCCTTCTGTTGCTAAATTATTCATTTATCATGGAGGAAAATTTTACGTAATCTATGTTTTAAATGGGAGACAAAGCTTCCTCACTTCAAAACCGATGAAGAGGCCATAATCTGAAAGGTTTCAAATATGGTCAACACTTTCAGTTTCAATAGAATTTTGTTTTCAAAATTTACGATAAAAATTATTCATCTGGCATTATGGTGAACATAATTAATTGCAACATTTTTTCTCATCAGTAAATAAATCCAACCTCTTATTTGATTTGACCTTGTAGTGAGATCAAGATTGTAGGGACACTGAGAATACTTGTAATTACAAATAATGAGGTAGTTTAGTCTGTCTGCTGTCACTATATATGTTGTTGTACACCATGAAATAACAACGCTTACATATATATAATGCAATTAAGGTAGCTGGCTACCATTATAACACACTATAAAACGATGAAAAAAGGTGAAAATAAAATTTGCATACAGTATTTACTCTATTAGTAGCACATGTGTTTTATAAATGGGAATGGCATGATTAGATCAGTATGAGTTTAGTGTACTTAAACTATGACACAGAAAAAAATATTGTGTGGGAACAAATATAATGTATGTCATTTAATATTATCTTAGTTCAACCAGTAGAAAATGGCTGCCACCAGAGATACATATAAAACCTGTGCAAACAACATCAAATCGATCATTTTTCATCATAGCTTTTCACTCTCGTGAGTGTTAAATAAACATATTAATATAAATAGAAAATAGAGTTCTTTTAGTTGACTTTTATTTGTGAAACACTTTTGATTTGTATGTCTATGAAAGCAACCATAACTTTTCTATGTTGACAGAAACAGAAAAATAACTTTTGGACTCACTAATATATGTCTTATTAATTATGACCATAGACACAACTCTACCATATTTGTCCCATTAGAAGTACATACACTTAAGACGTGGTTAAATTACTTAACATACAGTAAATACCGGTACAATTTTTGCTTGAAGTGCGCTTCTGTTGAAGATGCGCTTCTAATAGAGTAAATACAGTATTATTTTATGTAAATGCATATGCCACTAATAGAGTGAATAAGGTAGCCTCCAATTGAAAGTAACGTTCTCAGCACTTAATTATTCAACAGAACTACTTATGTATGCAAGAATACCATAATTAAAGTGTGGCGGTCGTCGCGCCGCATCCTGGTCGATGTGGGACTCATAGCGACGTATACAATGTAATATACATTGTTTGTTTACAAGAAATTAGAACATGCTCTGTGGACGACCACCGACTTTAAATATTTACAGTTCTGAGTAAAATGACGAGGAAGTCAAAATATAAAATACAAATCATTCAGTAGAACCACTGGATATTCAAACAAGCAAAAATCCCAAACAAAAAAAAAAATTTTCTCAGAAAGATATAATTTTGGGCATACCTTTAAATTCAAACAGAAATCACCTCTGCCTTTTAAATTTTTTGATACTTTTTACGAAATTGTATACTATGCGGTGTAAATGGAAACAGGTGCAGCCAAGTATACGGGCATGGAAAAATACTTTGATTTAAACCTTTAATATTGAGTATTCCAAGTCTATACAGAAAGATTCTCTACATGGATTCAAAAGTACATGGGACCCACTGTTTGATTCAATGGAGTAACTCTAAATTGTTTTGTTTTTTCATTTTAATTTTTACGTTGTTATGTTATTTTGTATTTGTACTGTTTTAATATCATATAAAAATAATGATAATTAAAAAAAAAAAAAAAAAAAAAAATCCCAAATATGTCTGATGATGGTTAGGTCCTCATTAAATATCATTGTTAATGGTTGCACGGTCAGAGTAATACAGCTGGAAGCAATAATTAAAATGAGTCATCCTAGTTTTTTATTTTGTATTCTGATGGAAAACTGAGAAACACTATACCTGCAAAATTACGCCACATGCAAATTGGGAAAACAAAACACGTGTGAATTCTACAGTCAGTACACAAGAATCATAGTTTTATTTCTTGTGTATCATATATACTGAACACCAGAGGGCGCTATGTCAAACAAAGATTTTTTTCGGTAGACAAATTAATTTTAATTTTTTAATTAAACGTTTTTCATAATAATAATTTTTAAGTCTTTGAAAATAAACAATTGCAGTTCTTGGTGTTAATATTTTAATAATGATTTGGAAAAACTAAATATTTTCAAACATATGTTCTACTGCATACAGAACTTGATATAGGTAATTCACATCTCAGACAATGAAACGTTATAAAAACAACACTGCAAAGGGCATTTTACTGTTGCCATGGAAACTTGATAATACATGTACTGCATGTGCATCTTTACAAATGTATGTACATTGTTTAAATCAGTAATAACAATAAATCTATTAGAATATAATAGATTATATTTATTTTTCTCATGCAGGACACATTTTAATAATTTGTTGCGTAAACAATGTCAAGGTTTTCACACATGTACATTGCATAGAACCTATAAAATATGGCAGCATATGGAAACACCTGCATATGCACTACTACCAGTAATAGAATACAAAGTACTGTACACCGCTTAATTTTCACTTCTAGAAATTTCACAGCCTTCAATTGTCTTTTGCAAAAATAAAGCAGTGAACAATATGATATATTGTTAAAATTTCAGTATAGCCAATAGCAATCAGCAGACTAGACCATATATTATAGATATACTGACTTTTAAATATATGACAACCTTAAACCAAAAAATGGAACTGAAAGACTTGTATGGTTTTTAGATGTGATTGGATATTTAGATTTAGACAAAGATTATTAAATTCTTATTTTATTTATTAAAATATGTCAAATTTTATTATTATTTGCCGAAAAAAAATAGTGGGCAATGACTTTCTTTGTATATATGGTTGTAACATTAACATACAAATATCAGGGCAAAATGACCAGAAGAGCGTTTGGAATCTGACATCTGCTGTACGTGATTAAGAAAAATTAAAGGGAATCACCACTTGAAAACCATCTGCACATCTGACCATTTCTGACTTAAAACAAACCTTAATTATGCATGTGACTGAAATATACATACAAGCAAGACGATAGTTTAAAAAAATTAGATATTATAAAGTATTACTTGTGTTACTGAAAACAGATGAAAGCAAAAGTACTATGTAGTCAGCAAATATATAAATTTAATAGAATGTGTACAGAAAGTGTGTACCATTTAGAATAAATCAATCAATCAATAAATAAATAAAGATATTGTCACTTCGGGCCAAATACGCTTTCAATTAAACCAGTCAGACATATACATGTAAAGCATGCATATAAATAACACAGTGAAGAATGTTTTTATCTTGCTACTTATGTATGATGAAGAAGAGGAATAACTAGTCTCCTAGCAACACTTTGAAGTAATTGTTGTGAGAAAGACGACTGCTTATGACAGCTAGCAGACGTATTGAATTGTAGTAAAAAAAAAATCATGAAGAACCACTTGGATCTTTGTGGATATGTTTCATAGTCTCTCTGCATAATAAGCTCAGTTATTTTTTTAGCATTATGGGGATACCTATGATGTAGTGCTAGGATATTTGGTGATTTACATGGTGTGTTGGTTTAATTAATGGGTGGTAGTCATCACGTAGCGCATGTTCGAATTTCATGTTAACAAACAATGTATTTTACATGCGTTGTGTACATCGCAAGTCCTATGGCAAACAGGACGCGATGACATTTGACCTTTAACCAAGCGTTTTACCCGGCTGTGTATTCAATGTTACAAAATAAGATAATTATTTTCTATATTTTTTTTTTTAAACACATTGCATCTGAAAGTCTCCATGGTTAGCCAAAATGAATGAAAAAAAAAACAGTGTTAGCAGATGATGTGTTAAATTATCCTATAACATGTGCTTTGATTTTTCATGAACATTTTTTTTTTTCAAAATTTTGCCAAAAACTAAAAAATACATTTTTTTTAAACTGACACACCAGCAAAATTAGTATTTATTTTCTGTGCTTAAATAAAAAAAGTAAAAAAAAAACATAATTCAGATACGACTTAACTAGTTGACGATATTGATTGAAGGTTAATGAATGGTGGATTTAATTTTGAAGTGGAAATACGTACTGTAATTGTTCACTTATATGCACAGTGATCTGAAATACTTGACAATAATTGCAGGAAAAAATGCATTAATTATTGCATCCTCAGGTTAACAATATTTTAATACAAAGCCCATAAACCCTACCATCAGTCCCACAATGCATCTTACATCAACTTCCTGTTCTGTAAGACAGAATTAGGACATCACACCAGTTTTACTAAATCATCATCTGTGATGTCATAATTCTTTTGTGAGTCCTTTTGTTTTTTGCATAAGTCAATAAATAAATTATGGGAGTAGCGGTAAATCTCTATCCATGCATTTAAAATCTTGAAAAAAATATTTATGAATTTTCAATTTTGCCTTATAGTATATTTTTATATTCCAATTAGACCCTGCACGAAAACAGCAGTGTAAACAAGACTTTCTCTTTAACCTTTGACCTTTTACACAGCTACCTTAAACAAAATAAATCTGCAT